TTTAATATTGGCCCCTTTAATGTAAAATTTCTGGTTCTGCCACTTAAAGAAAATTATGAAAATTGTATTCCGTATAGTAGTATATATGGCATTGCTTGCATGTCATATGACCTTTATTTTCAACATATTAAGCGCACTTTAGGAGAAATAAATTTGGTAAATAAGAATTTTATAATTTCATATTTGATGTTAAAATGTAAAATTACAACAAGGGTTGGTATTTATTTATTTATTTATTTATTTTTAAGAAGTATTGATTTACTATAATGCAATTAGAGGGTTTGATTTTACGATTAAGTAATTTTTTTGTTACAATTATTACCTTGTTGATTATTTGTTAAAAGATTAAATCTTGCTATTTTTTTGCTAGGTTTTTGAAACTTGCAAAAATACTACAATTATAAGGGATCATCGACAATTAGTCAACAAATGAATGCACAAGCTATGTCAACTCTTTCGAAATTCTTTTTCTATAAATCATATTATGTGCATTTCGTCCAAATTAATCCATTAGTACTTTATTTTTCAAAACCCAAAAACAGTAGAATACAATTCTTTATTTTATTTTTATCAAAAGTTTTTTTAAAAAAAAGTTTATAAATCATACCAAGTTTTAAGATAAAATTATGAATAATCCAAGTATTAAGTATAAGGCTGGAGAATATAAACTGTTTGTAAAATGTTATAAGATGCAAAAAATACAATGAAATTAAGTTGCTCGAGTAATTTTGTAAAGTTTTAAGTAAAGTATAAATAAATAAATAAAACTTATACACAGTTCGTTTGTAAAACGGACCCTAAAGCTAGTTTATGAGAATTTATTAAACCTGTCATATCACAATAGATGTTTAAAATTTATAACTTTGACATAAAATGCTATTAAATATGTTCAAGTCAAGATTCAATTTAATTAACGCACATTGGTGGAGAGATAAAGAAGAGTAGAATACGGAGTATAATGCAAAGAATGGCAATTAAGTAACGTAGATCTCAATGATCACATCACATTAGCTGTATTTTATTTTGCTTTTATACCTCAAATCTGCTAGTATAAAATCCAATTGGTCACAATCAAACAACTATTTTCCCCTTTATATAAAAAAAGAAAACGTATACTTCATTTTAGTATTAAAACAAACACATTTTTATCTAGTAATGCACAAGTTTGAAGTCATGAGTAAAACCTCTCTATTTTATTTTCTCTTATTCATTCTATTCATCAATTTATGTGAATTCTTCCCACACATTAATGGTGATAACACCTTAGTCTCCAATGTTTGCAACAAAACACCGTACCCAAAAGATTGCCATACATGCCTAGACAACAACACGGGAGCACCCGACATGACGGTACGTGAGCTAGCCGCAGAAGTTATGTATTGCACCTACGACACGTCTAAGGTACTCAACCAACGATTCAATGAACTCATATCTAAGGGAGGAGCCAAATCTAGCATTGCATCAACTAATTGTACGTCGAAAATATACGATTTCGGGGATAAGTTGTTAGGGGCTATGACTTGGTGGTACCAACGGGGTGATGATGTTGCTAAGAAGGAATTTTATGCTGCAAAAGATGATTATCAAAGTTGTAAAATTGCTCTTGGGAAATTGTCTAGTCCTTTGCCTTCTGATGTTGATCATCTATTTGAGGTTATAAATAATCTTTACCAAGATTCTGGTGACATTATTTTGCAATCTAAGGCATAAATTAAGGGAATTTTTATTTGTAATATATATTTAAAAGTTTTATTATTGGATATCAATAATTTCAAGATCATGATTGTGTTAGATGATTAGCCACTGTGGCATGTGGATGCTATCTATCACTGTTTTTGTATTCTACACCTAATTATATTGATTCAATCCTCACGATCATATAAAAAGATCTTTTTTTTTGGAACAAATTTAGAAGAAATAAAACAAAAATATTTTGTTATGTTACATTAGAACAATTTTTTTTGTATTGTATATTGTTGTTAAAAAAATCAGAATTTCGGATCTCAAAAAAGATACATTGATATAGCTAGTATCCCTGTTCTATTTCGTTTCTTCCTATTTGAAATCTTTAATGAGACAAAGAAGTGAAATTAAAGTAGGCCGAAAAAAAAAAAAAGAATGGAGGAAACGGTTTGTAATTATGGAGTAATTATGTAAAAAATTTGGTGTAATTAATTATTTTTTTTTTTCCAAAAAACCTTTTGATGAAAAATGATTTATTTATCTTTAAAATATCTCATAGATTGATTCTCCTGTCTCTTGTAATATTGGAAGGTCTAAGATTATATCTTTTTTTTTTTTTTTTAAATAAAGTTTTTTAAATTCTTGTGGAAAGTAAAATGAAAGTTTGAAGTCAAGGATAAACTGTTTTAATTTATCTCTTACTAATTTATGTCATCAATCTATGTAATTCTCCACCCATCATTGTCAATGATGACTCCACCGTAATTTTTCAACAAAAAAAATAGCATACCAAAATGATTGTGATGGTATACATTAGTTTGCATATTCAAATCCTTCCTCTCTATTTGTAATTTATATTGCCCTTATAACTCATTTGGATAATTTTTTTTTTTTTTTAATAATTTATAGCTTCTAAACAACAATACAAGAGTCTATATACATATTAAAATAAAGGGATTATACATGCTATACATTAAAAAATGTTTCATAATAAGTTCATGTATCACATAACGTTCTTTTCGTGATTAAAAACTTAATAGATAATGAATATTAAAAACTTAAGACTACGTGAACCCGCAATGTCATGCATAAGATTATACGGAGTAAGATGTTATTTATAGCAGTTAATACTTCTTTAATTAAATACATCAACAATGTGATTATAAAGATACTTACGTTCTCTTACAATTCTTTGCATTGCTTCTTTCTCTAACCAACATGAAGGTTAGTAGTTTTAATTGAGTAGTTGACTTGAGCGCACATGACCTTCAAAATCTCTAACCTTTATTGATAGGTCAGTATAACTTATAAAATTCTAATAAACAATGTTAATATCAATTCAATGAACATCATCAACATTTTTAAAGTTTGATTCAGTAGTTAAAAGTTATCTCATTCATAATTCTTAAATGTATACCCATTGGAGGCATATGTAGTAAATTAGTAATATAATGTATATCTAGGCGCAAAGCTCTTACGAAGTATGGAGCATTTTTTTTGGGTAAGAATAAACGTACTAGCGAATCTAAACTTAGCACGTGTCAGTCCAATTCAAACTAATAGGATAGACACTTAAAGAATGACGAGTAAAGTTAAAATTCACTCTAGGGCCACTTTAAGAGTAAAAACACCTTATCGTCTCCCCTGACTCTCAAAGTGTCTAGCATGCTAACTCAAACTGAGTTGACTAGTGAAAGTTTTTGAATCAATAGGCCAATTAAGTCGTCTTACCTAATCCTCCCTCCGTGTTTTAATAAGTATTACAGTTTGACCGGCATATAATTTTTTACCAAAAAAGAAAGTGTAATACTTATTAAAACACGACTGGATTTGATAAGTGTAACACTTATTAAAACACGGATAAAGTAAAAAAAAAAAACACTTTTTAAATAACACTATCATTCTATGTCACAAATTTTTTGAATTCTTCCTTTTTTTACATGATTTTAGACATCAATTCCATTCGCCCAAAAGAAGAGATAAAAAGTGTGCAATAATGAGACGAACTTAATTTCCATTATTGTGACTCACACTCTTCCTAAAACTAACTACAACAAATTAAGATACAAATATATTATGTAAAATGATATGATTTGGTGCGCATGCAATTTAGATGTAAGATGATAAACACCTATGTCAATTATAGTACATGCTACCAAGTCAAACCTTGAGTCAGCAAACATCCATATTCATGGCCTTGTCTAGTTCCAAAATCTAAATGAAAAGAATAGAACAATAGAGCATAAAAAAGATAGCATGATATTCAGAAATGTGCATAATCCTCACTACCACGCACTATTATAGAATTGGGAGAATATGTACAGAACTGATGACAGTATGTACGTTACGACACGTACATATGCGTAATTGCTAATTAGATGCTTTGGAACTACATAATGCCAAACTACAAATCAACCTTCAATATGATCCAAAAATAAAGCGCATTTAACACAAAGTTGTTTTAGAAAGAGAGTTCAAACTTCAAAAATATAATGTTGCAGTATAATTGTTAGGAAATCATATTGTTAAACACAATATGCTATATTGCTATTAACAAAACTACAGTAACATAATTCACCGTTCTCAAAACCAAACATTGGTGTAACATGTTGACTTTCAGGAAGAAATATTCAGCTATTTTATTTAGTGTAAACTTTTTCTATATAATTTCTCCTTTTACTCTCCTCATCCAGGTTTAACTAAGGATGCTAACGATAACTCATCTAGTTTGTTGATTATTCGATCCCGGTTTGAATTTTTCATGAAATTAACACAACAAAGCTCAGCTCAAGTGAACATGCTTGAATATGTTTATTTTTACTAGTTTATTCTAGAAATTATGATATCTATGGAGTAAAAGTGTTGATGACGAGCTAAAAAAATTAAACAACGTAATCAAAGCTCGTGACTTGTTCAAGTTCGAATAATTAAAGTATAATGAACCTAGTTTAACCAATTCAAGCTCAATGTCGGCTTGCTCAATTATCACCCTTTCAATTGCTAATCTCAACACTTATAAGTACGGAATTAAATATTGATATTATAACTGTTAGTTGTGCACTGTCCACATAATTTGACCTTATTATATGCTTTGATAGATCAAGCACTTTGGCTTGGAGCTTCTGTCTCATATGTTGAACAATTCACTAGAACCACAAAGTTGTACGTACAATAAATAACTAGTTAGACAAAAATAGATCGTCAAATAATTGAAAGGAGAAGTTGCGTGTCCTAGTGCCTCATTTCTTTTTGTTTAATTTGTTTCATTTGAAATCTTTAAATTGATAAGAAAAAACATAAATTGTGAAAAAACTTTGATAAGAAAAGATAAGGAAAAATGGAAAATAATAATCCCACCTTTGCTTAGTCTTCTAAAAACAATCCCACCTTTGATTATTGCAGAAATAATCCCACTTATAACACCAATCTTCTTTTAACAAGTCTTGACCGATTTTGTTAGGTTGGCAACTGGTTAGAGAAAGTAACTTGACAGGTGTTGCTATCTAATGGTTTGTTTTGATAATTAAAAAAACAAAAAAACTCCCACCCTTCCCTTCCTTCTACCCTCATCGGAGCTAGCCTCAGCACATGGCAGCCGGCCTGACGAGCCCCACCCTCTTCCCCTTCCCCTTCCTTTTGCCTTTCCTCTTTTTCAGTGAAACAATATCACCCCTTTTCTTCCCTTTTCTCCATTGGCTCTGTTTGTTTAAAGGGAAAAGCCTTTTCCTGAAAATAGTTTTCCTATTTTCTACTGTTTGTTTTAGACCGGCCCATAAAATGGAAAATAAGGCTAGAAAGTACTTTTCCATTGAAGCCCAAATATTTTCCCTAAAAAATCAAGGTATTCCTGTTTTCCATCGTCTTCAACTTCAAGCTCGCTGCTCTCTCTCTCTCTCTCTCATCTTCAAGCTCTGCGTGCTCTCTATCTCATCTTCAGCGGCGTGAAGATCTGCTCTCACAAGGTAATTTCCGATTTATTTTGTTTCCTTTCTTTGATTGTTTGCTTCTTTATTGGATTCAACATCTCTGCTCTCGAAATTCTTGGTTAGGTTTGTGATTAATTAGGATACAATTTATGATTTGTTTATTTTAATCTGGTTTAATTTTGAAGTAGAATTAGTTTGTGCTATTGAAATTTTAGGGTTAATTTAGCAGTAGAACTAATTTGATGCATTGTATAAGATATTTAGGGTTTGATAAATCAAAATCAAAATGGTTGTGATTGTGGAGAGGTGCGGCTGCGGTTTTGGTGAGGGTGTGCGATGGAGTAGCTCAGTGTTGTTAGGTGATGGAGCTAGTGGGCGGTTTGAGGTGTGGTTTGTGTTTCCAGGTTGGGTTTGTAGCTTCGGTGAGTAGTTGATAAGTAAAATGTGCGCGAATTACTGTTCTGCAAGAGCAGCACTCAGTACATAACTTGCCAAATCAGTTTCCACTAGTAGCATAATACTCCCATATTACTTGAAAGCATTATCTTGCTTGATAGCAGAACATTTAGTGCCAGGACACCCAATACATTGGTTAGATAGTAATGTCGAGTTGGTTGCATTCCTTGTCATTTATCTTGCTTGTAAGTTTAAGAGATGTAAAAGATAATGCTAAAGCTAAGTTATATTAATGAATGTTTTGGAAGTTTTATTTGCATTGAATCAGTGATCTGAACTTCTGATATTCATTGCAGTTGTGCTGTACGAGGGGATTAAACCACAGAATTGGTTGCAATGGCAGAAAATCAGTCTCCAAACTTGCACATTATAATTTTCTTTTTTCAGATTAGCATTAGTTATGGAACCAGAGCGTGGATTGTCTACCCAAAAATCATCTAAGGTATAACTTTGCCTAAAAACCTCTATCGTATTAATATACATCTAATAATCTAAGTATGCTTGACCTTTTGTTTTTTTGATGGAACTGATGTAGATGACTAATGATACTAAAGGCATTGTTATTGGCGTTGTGGCTGCTTTTATTGCTTGTTCTCTTGCTTTTCTTAACGAGCGTAGGTCCAAAACAAGAAGGCTAAGAATAATTAGGCAACCCTATATTAAATAGAGATAGTCTGAGGTCGGAGATTTTTAATAGTGTTTTGTATTGTGGTGATACTCACTGTTTGGGTCAGATTCGTATAAGGCCTCAAGCGTGTAATATTCTAGTTGAAAGAGGACTTTTGAAAGAAAATATTCGAATAGGTGTTAAAGAACAAGTAATAATGATATTTTTATACATTTTAGGGCATAATGTAAGATTTAGGGCAGCAGGGGGAAGATTTTTCCGATCAATTTGGACCATACATCATTACTTTCATGTTGTTCTTAAAGCCATCCTTAAAATGAACCTAGATTTTGTTAAACCACAAGCCTCTCCTCTTCCATCTGAAATTCAAAACAACCCTAGGTTTTTTCCTTAGTTTGAGGATTTCATAGGAGCTATAGATGGGACACATATACATGCATCTGTCCCAATTGAAATGCAAGGTCGATTTCGTGGTAGAAAGGGTGGGACAACCCAAAATACGTTAGGTGCTGTTGATTTTGATATGAAATTTACATATGTGTTGGCTGGTTGGGAGGGTTCCGCTCATGACTCAAAGGTCTTGCAAGATGCACTCAAAAGGAGATTTAAGGTTCCTAAAGTTACTTTAAGATTATTTTTTTGTCTGGTTTCTTTTATGCATTGGTTATAAGTTAGTAACTATGACAATTCTCTTTAAATTGTAGGAAAGTATCAACTTGCCGATGCGGGGTATGGTGACCGTAAAGGATTCATGCCTCCATATAGGCATATTCGCTACCACTTGAAAGAGTATTACCAACAATCCACCCGAGAATGAACGTGAATTATTTAATCTTCGACACTCCTCACTAAGATGGTTGTGGAGAGGGCATTTGGAGTATTAAAGAAGCGATTTTGTGTCTTGGATGTTGAGCCATTTTGGCCGTATGAAACCCAAGTAGATGTAGTTCTAGCATGTTGTATGTCATATAACTACCTTAAAGGTGTTGACCCAAATGACCCGATTACAAGAGAAGTTGAAGTAGAGATGACATCACAAGATTTACAACACATGCGAAGCACGTACTCGAGGGAAACAGCGAGAAGAAAACCAACAAATTGAAAGGAAGAGAATGGCCATTGCGGCGATGTGGATTGTATACAAGAAGGCTCGAATTTGATGGGCTTAGCATATGCATCTTTAGATAATTAGTTCATTAATTATGTATTTTATATTCTATAACAGTTTATCTTTTTAAAGATAACATTTTCAGTGATTATGTATTTTCAGAGATTAGTAGTGATGCTGTAAATAAGGCATTTGCTAACTCTCCAATTGAAGTTGTTGATAAAACATCAGAAAGTTATGGTCCTACCTGAGATTGTTGATTCCATTGGGATTTGAGTTCTGTGATGAATGATTAAATTAATCCACATGATGATACTGATAAAGATTTTGCTTATAGCACTCAATTAGTGGATGTTACCCTGATATGTTATTATGTTATTATGTATTTCTTATATGTTATTATGTTATTTTTTTTTCAGATTCTAATGTTATAGTGATTATTCCAGGTTATAAATGAAGAGAAAAAGGTCAACTTTCGTTGGTCAAAGGACATGTCAAAGGAATTACTCGACTTTTTAGCTGAAGAAGTTAAAAAGGGAAATCGGCCTAATAATACTTTTCGAACAAGTTCTTTTGTGGCTGCTGCAAAGATTATCTCTGAGAAGTTTCAAACCAATTGCACCTCAGAACATGTGGAGAATCATATGAAAACTGTGAGGAATGCATGGGTGGCTATATCAACAGTCCGAAACAACTCCGGGTTTGGATGGAACGATAACTTGAAGATGGTGACAGCATCACCCATAGCATATTCTACTTATGTTAAGGTAGTGTTGTTTTATACACCTTTTCTAAACATGTTGATTTGTTTAATAGAGATATGGGATAATGTTTGTGATTAGAGAGTTTGGTAGGATAATATGCTGAATATGAAGCATGACAATAAATCATGTCCTCCTACCTTCTGGCTATTTCAAATAATGTTGTATTTCTTGATGTTTAATTTTGATTATAAAGTTTAGTTTATATGATTTATGTTGATTCTGATAGCAGCCTTCAAAACTTTTCATATTTTGCAGAAATATCCAAAATATGAAAAGTTTTTGAATCGAAAAATTGATATGTATGAAGAGATGGCTATAGTAGTGGGTAAAGATTTAGCACGGTGGAACTTCTCCAAGACATTTGCCGACATCGATGTTGATGCTTCAATGGAAAGTGGACAACCAAGTATGACTATTGATAGTGTACCTTCCAAGGCTGAGAGTGGTACCTCGTCGGGCTCTAGGCCACATCGAAAGAGGTCTCGAATTGACGAGGGATCTGAAATGGAACACATTTCAGCACAACTTCAAGAAGTGGTTAGTGCTCTCAAAAAAATTTTAAACAATCAACTTGATGTGGAGAACCTTTATGACGAAATTATAAAGATGGAAGACATTGAAGAAAGGGTGCATGTTGCGGCTTTTGATCACTTGGTGGAGCGCGAAATGCTTGCAAAAGCATTTTTGACAAAAAGCTTGCCACTACGCAAACTTTGGATCGAAAAGTTTGTCAAAGACCATAAACATTAAAGTCTTCTTGCTGCTTTCACTCCAATTTCTGGTAGTTTGCTCTTGCTGTCTTCAAGGTTACTGCTCTGGTTGCAATCTACTACTTGGTTTTGGTGCATTCTGCTTTGCCTTTTGTTTCTTGCTTCTTGTTGCTGTTTTTCTATAACTGCTATGCTACAGCCTGGTTGATGCCTGGTGTTTATGCTGCTGCTTCAGGCTGCTGGAAGCTACTTCTCCTGCTCCCTGGTTTTCTGTTGGCTGGTATATGCTGCTAGGTCTGCCCCTGTCTTTTCTACAACCGTTTTTCTTTTCTTATTTTTTTGCTGTTTGTTTGGCTTGGGTATTTGTAGAAGTTTTTTATTTTTATTATTAGTTTGAAAAGGTTAACATTTGTAGATCAAATATGAAAAACTATAGAATTTTAGTTTTTAAATCATTTACAAGGGTGTTTTTCATGTTCTCTTCTTGACTTACAGTCGAGGGCCGAACTTGGTTTAATTTACGACTATAACAGGAAGTCCGTTTACCTCATCTGCTAATTTTATCTGGAATAGTGATTCGAACAAGCCCGAGTCATATACTTTTAATTAATAAAAGTTTCAAGATTGTTATTTATTCATTTATCAATTTAATTAGGTTCAAATTTAAAAACAATTAGATTCACAAACAATATTAAGTAAAAAAAGGAAAATTGTTTTAAAAGGAAAATAAATTTCCAAACAAACAAAGAAAAATGGGATTTATGGCAAACAAAGAAAAATGGGATTAATGGAAAATGAATTTCCAAACAAACAAAGGAAAATGGGATTCTTGGAAAATGAATTTCCTTACAAACAAACAAAGGAAAACAAACGGATTTTCATGGATTTGAGTTTTCCTCCAGAAAATGAATTTTCATGGAAATTCATTTTCCATTAGATTTGTTTTCCATCAAAACAAACGGAGCCTGAATGTACTCCAAGTTCTCCATCAGAGTAGCCTGTGAGCTTTCTCTCCCCCCATTAAAGCAACTTCTAAGGTAACTTGTTTTTTTTTTATAAAAAATTAAAGGACTTATCGTCAATTCAATTGGTGATCTGATATGGGTTAATTTTATCATTGTTAATTGTTGTGCTGGGCAACGACGATGGTGGTGTCGATAGTGGGCTAGCATTGGTTGAGGGGGGAGGTTGCGGGGTGAGGTTTTTGGGTGACAATGGTGACAATGCGGGGTGCAAATGTCGATCTTTCCTCCATTAATATCCCAGTGCGTTTACCCTTCTAATTAGCCATGAACAATTCATAAAGATTTCTTCTTCCTCTTACAACTCCATTTTCGTCCCTGACCAGGTTTCGCTGTTTTTATTTCCTCTTTGTTTATACTATATATGATTTCCTTTCTATTTTACTTTTATTTTTCTTGATGAATGAATTTTTATGTTTTTTGTTTGCTTGCTTGACTAAATTCCAATTTCAATCTTCTTAAATTAACAGTGGAATTTTGGATAATGTGTTTTTTCTTTTGGTTGTTGGGCGACGATGAATGTTGATGCTGGAGGTGAGCAGGTGGGGTAATGGGTTGGTGGCGATTCGATGGTTAGCATTGGTTGAAGGAGGGATGGTGGTTTTGGTGGTGGTGGGGAGGTGGCTATTGGGGAGAGGTAAGAGGAGGTAGTAATGGGTGCAGGGTGGCGGGGAAGGGGGTGGGTTTATTTTGGTTGGCCATTAGTGTTTTTAAGGGTGGCAACGATGGGGTGGCAATGGCAATAGCAGTGGCGATGGTGGAGAGGAGACATATTTCTTAAAAAAAACATAATAAATAAACAAATATTTAACCTGTAAAATAGTAACAAGTTAAAGGGCTTGTTAAAAGAAGATTGATGTAAAAGGCAGGATTATTTCTGAAATAATCGAAGGTGGGATTATTTTCAGCAAAAACTCTTGTATGGACCTGGTCCACATTAATTATTAATGTGAACCAAAAGCCCACGTGTCAAGCCTGCAACCACTACTAGAAATAGGCCGTTTCCGAAGGAATTGTTCCGACGGAAAATCCGAATTTTTCGACGGAATTAAGGTCTACCGGAACTTTCCGTTGGAAAAGGTTCCTTACGACGGAAACTCCGTCGAAATTTTTGCGACGGAAATTAATTCCCTCGGAATAAAAGGCTTCCGATGGAATATTCCGTCGGAAAGTTGGTTTACCTACGGAATTTAAATCCGTCGGAATTTTCCTATGGATTAATCCGTCGGAATTTTCCTACGGATTAATCCGTCGGAAAGTCTTAATATATAAAAAAAAACCCCGGATTTTCTTTATTTCACTCTCCTCCTTCTCCTTTCTTTCCTCTTTCCTCCTCCTTCCTCTCGTTTCTCTCTCCTCCTTCTCCCAGCGTCATTTTTTCCTCCTTTTCCTTCCCCTTGTTTCTCTCTCCTCCTCCTCCTCCTCCTTCCCCTCGTTTCTTTCTCCTCCTCCCTCCTTCCCATCGTCTCTCTCTTCCTCCCTCCTCCCTCCGTCTCCTTCTGTTGCTCAACAAAACCAACACCACCGCCGTTGCTCAACAAAACCACCATCGCCGTCGTTGCTCAACAAAACCACCACCGTCGCCGCTGCTCAACAAAGCCTCCACCACCGATTCTAAGGTTTTTCATGTTTAATTCGACCATGAAAACCCTAGATCTAGGGTTTTCATGGTCGAATTTGACCTTTAAAACCCATTTTCAAGCCAATTTAGGGGTTTTGATGGAATCTAAGGTAAGTTCTCTTACTCTCTTTCTCTTTTTTTTTCGGCATTTTTACCTTATTTTTTTCGTTTTCTTTTTCTGAATTTTCTATGTTTGTTTTTTTTTTTTTTGATTTTGTTTTTGATTTTGAATATGTGTTTTTGTTTTTTTTTCGCCATTTTTCGTTCGTTTTGTTCCGATTTTTCGTTTTCTTGAATTATTTGTCGGTTTAATTTGTTTTTTTTTCTCTGAATTTTCTATTTTTGTTTTTTTTTTTATTTTGATTTTGTTTTTGATTTTGAATTTTGAATTTTGAATTTGTTTTTTTTTTTGGAATGTGGTTGAGGTGGGTGGGCTTCGTGGGTGGGGATCTGGGTTGTGGGGGTTTTGTGGGTGGGGATGTGGGTGGGCTGGTGGGTGGGGATCTGGGTTGTGGGGCGTGGGGGATGGGGTGGTGGTGGGGCAGGGGGTGGGGTGGTGGTGGGTGGGGCTTTTTTTTATTTATTTTTTTCTATTAAATTTTCCGACGGAATTTCCATCGGAAATTTCCGGCGGATTTAAATTCCGTCGAAAATCTCCGACGGACTTTCCGGTACCGGAAAAACCGTTTCCGACGAAAAAATTCCGCCGGAATAGTGTTTCCGACGGAATTTCCGACGAAAATGGCCGTTTTTCCTACAAATTGGTTTCTGACAACGTGTTCCGACGGAATTCCGTTGGAAATAGCCATTTCCGACGGATTTACAAGGTGTACCGACGAAATTTTTCCGTCGTAAATCAAGTGTTTTCTAGTAGTGAACTCCAGCTGCAACTACTCACGCACTCCCTCACTCTTCACCACCCCCAAACTCAAACCATCGCAATTCGCAGCAGCCACCCACCGAACCACCTCCAAACTCACACCACCGCAGCCAACCACCAACCCACCGAACCCACCGCACCCACCAACCACCGAACCACCTCCAAACTCACACTAACTCGAACGACTCACATCACTACAACCAACCACCTCTAAACTCACACCACCGCGGCCAACAACCTCCAAATTATCACCATCGCAGCCAACCACCCCACAAATTGCACAAATTCGATTGCAGTAGTTTCGATTTGGAATAAGAAGCTAATTTGGTGATACAAT